TTTCTTGAGTGATAGGAACTGCACAAAGTACCACATAAGAGTTCACTCATTTGATCTTCACAATTACCTTAATAAGATCACCACAACCAATAGCCTCACTTCACAGATGCAGAAACTGAGAGTCACACAGCTAATAAGTGGTAGAAACTGGAGCTGATCTTTAAACCACTCTTCTTTTCCTGTTCATTTCCATTTTCCAACTGAGCAATTATAGGTTAATTCCCAAATACAGTTTCCATAGTAACTGCTGTCTATGATTAGGCTAAATAATATAAACCTAAAAAGTTAATCACAGATTAAACGCAAAAAATAAATAAGCAAGAGTTCATTCTAGGGCACTAAAAATGTATGGAAGGGAACTGTGTTTGCATTCAAGAAGTCTTTTCTGAGCATTTACTATGTGCCAGCCACTATTCAAGGACCTGGGGAGATAGCTGGGAAAACTGAAAAATATCCCTGCCCTCCTATATTTCATTAGGATAATGAGATATAATAAAATAAGTAAACTGGAAGGGGATAAAGCTATGAAGAAAAATGAGTGAACTAAGTGGGGTGTGTGGCAAAGAGTATGGGGAACAGTTTCAAACAGGATAGTCAAGGAAGACCTCAGTAAGAAAGAAGGCGATGAGTATGGTCATACAAATAAAACAGATGAAGCTCATGATTCAAATCAAACAGAAAACTGGGGGAAAATACTGGCAACTCTATTTCACTGTGCTTCTACCATTCATCTTTTATTCCAAACTACAGAAGTGAACATTTCTTGTGATGGCCACATGCACCATTTCTAAATTTTAATCATCAAAGCTTACGACATTATTTTCCTACAGAAAAGAAAGTTACTAGTGATCTTGCTTTTGCCTCCCAAAATTTCCATCTTTCTTGCCAGAAAGCAGCATCTGTATGCATCTGTATAACTCCCCCTACTTTTGACAACTATGACTTCTTTGATGAACTACCCATGCATGTAGGAAGGGAGAGAAAGATGGAGGAAGCAAGTGGGGAAATGAGTTTTTTATTTTTCAGATTAATGTATATGAAGTGTCTCTCTGACACTTCATCAGCATGCCTGGCTGGTGTCCCAGCAGGCGGACACTGGCTGAGCATGTATTCTGCCAGCTACTAGGCTACCTAGGATGAATTGGCAACATGCCATTTATCTGAAATGCCCAATGTGTCTGGGAGAGGGAGCACAACTACATTTAGCATTGCCAAGGAAAACTAGATACTTCAGGCTAGGAATTAATCTCCTCCTTGAGAAGGTAGCTAGCATTACCTTCAAGCTTGCCGGTGGCATTTAAATCTCTACAGGTCATGCATTTACTAAAATTCATACCTACCAATCCATGGGGCCTCCATTTATATCTTATTAACTTGTGAACATCTCTCAGGTTGAGGGTCTATACTATTCTGAAATGTCTGTTGTTGTGTTGAATATGAAATTCTGTTATATCAAATGTAATGCTGTCATTGGACATAAACCACATTGATTCCTGTCTCTGATTTTTCCACATTTGAATACACACACTGCTTCAACTTACCTCTTCACTGAATCAACAAAATGTTTAACCCAGTGTGACTATATGACTGCTTACAAGCAGATTAATGACAATTTCCTTGAACATGGACACTGATAATCTCTTCACAATGCCATCAACATATTTTTTGAGTGGTTGATGTGGAACTAATTGGGATTTAGCCCATTACATGAACTTGAAGGCTAATCACAATTGTAAAATGCACACTCAATGGCAAAACCATAGAGTTTCAGAAGGATGGTCTTATTAGGCCACCCCTTACAGCAAACAAAATTTTACCATCACTCTCACCTTGTAATGAAAGGAATCTGTCACTTTACTGGAATAATTGTTCATTCCATCAACATTATTTATTGAATGCCTTCTACACATGAGACACTATGCTAGAAGCATTGAGGAGAACAAAGTCAGACCAGATAGAAGTCTGCCCTCAGGGAGTTTGCAGTCCAGCAGCGGGATATAAGGCATAAACACCAAGAACTGAGGCACAGGGGCACCGTGATAAAGGCTAAGGAGAGTCAAGAGGAAAGCTGATGTCCAGTGGAGGTGAGGATAGTGGCAAGGAGGATCTGAAGCATGTTCTATTGTACAATGCACCTCCAGAAACATCAGCTTTTTAGAAGGAAAAGGAAAAAGAAAAGGAAATGGAAATTAGGTTCTAGTAGGTGTACATTTCCACGTCTTCAGCACCATTCCCTATCAAAAATTTTAGTTGTAATCAGCACAGATAATTTAGATGTAATCCAATCCAGGAAACATGAAACAGATTAACTTTAATGGTTCCGCAAAAGGTACCAAAAGCAGATAAACTCATTAATATGTACTCAGTGAAATACTGAAATAACCAATATGGCATAGAGACCAAGCAGATCATGGCAGAACAAAGAAGAAATTAAGATAGTATTCTGCCTGGCAGCCTTCCTCCAACTTCTGCAGTTTTTGATACGACAGAAGATGGGGGACAAAAGACTTGGTCAAACAGCCCCCAGTTTTCCTTAAATTACAATTAGGAAGTAATGAAACCTCCAAAGGGAAGATATGATGAGGGTTACATTTTAAACTTTCACTTTCTAGTAGTAAATGATTAATCACAGTCTGGCTTCTGGATCCAAATTATTCATAATAGGATAATAACAGAAGTATTAATACTGTTAACATTTGAGACTTGTTATGTGTCAGGTACTATTTTCAGTTCACTCTCTATGGTAGCTTAGCATTTTCCCTGGATTTGCTCTTAAGCAAACACTATAAAAACTTGCAGTGTAGACAAACTAAATAATTTAAGTAACTCTTTGATAAGAACATCAGTTAGACAGATGGAGGGGTAATCTTGCGTTTTCTATTAGTAGTTCTCCTTAACTTTGTATCTTATTCCCAAATATCTTAGGACACTTGACATATGTTTTACTAATGAACAAAACAGCTTCTGTGTCTGACTATCTACCAATACTAGATAATAAGACACATTACTTTGTGATAGTGGCGTTTTAATCAGACTGATTTACTTGGCAATTAACATACAGGATTAATACTTGTGTTAATAATAATAGTGCAGTGGCCCAAAAGGAACCTCCATTTAAGAAAAAAAACCTCTTTATGAGGAATTTTCCTCTTTCCTTAGAAAGTAATTGCCTATAGTAAAATAAGCTCTTAAAAAATTCCTCATGAAGAAAAAGTGACTTTGAATTTGGGGATGGGATGTAGAAAAATGCTACCATTGCTTTAAGTTTATCTTTAAAAATAAGTCTTAAACTTTTCAGAAGAGGAAAAAGATGAATTTTGGTTTATAGATCATAGTCAATTTTGAAACCATAAAATATCAGTACATTCAGCATCATTATTATTCTGAAAGTGGAATCAGGGAATTCCAAAGTTGAATTTCAGAAACAGTTGCAGATGAAGTGATAAAATCTAAGAAATAAAGTGACTTGTCCAAGTTTAAACAGTTACATACCGGCAAAAGCAGGCTAGAAGCTAGACCTAAATCAAACCTCTCTGCATTACCAAATGATTCCTAAATAGCCAACATAATTTATTACCAACGCATGTAAAGTTACAAGGCAACATAATGTACTGATTTACATATTACTTGTTTCATCTGCAAAAAACGTTTAAAAATCTATTCTCATACCACACAACCCCCTACCACCAATGCAAAAATAACTTGAACAGACTTCTAAGCTGTGCCAAAGTTAAAGCAGAATTAATGGGCCCACGAGAAAATAAAATTCTAGAAAACATCACAGTAAAAAATAAAGGTGTAACATTAGAAGAAAAAAAAGGGAGGAATGTAGAAGCTCATGCTGCTAACAAATACTCATATGTTTATGCCATGTGCCAACTAGTAAATGTGGAAAGAATGCTTAAGTTGGAATAATGACTTTTCAACTATCACAGAAAAGAAGGGTTCAGGCAAGAATCACCAATGGATGTGAAATCAAGGGGAAATTTTTGATGAGGAGAAAGAAGCATGTCTGCATGGCCTAAAACCACCTTATGGAGTTCAAGAGAAAATCTAACTACAGTGGAAAAAATCAGGCAACACCTCGACTGGATTTAAAAAATTAACATCACAATGAGGGGCAGATGGACATCATGCACGTGCAGATGGCATGCCCTGAGAGGACACAGCATCACCAATGTCCTATTCTGGCCTGGAATGCAAAAACTTGGGTCTCCCCATGAGGAAACATCAGACATATCAGACACATGTAATATGAGAGATACTTCATTTAAAAAAATGGAAGGGGGTAGGTACACTCAAAATGTTAAGTCATGAAAGGCAAAGCAACTCTGTAGAAATGTTCCATATTAAAGGATACTAGATAGATATAACAAATACAATACATGATCCTAGACTGGATCTATACTGAAGGAAGAAAAGTGCTATTGAGGACATTAAACCAATCAATAAAATTGAAATAGAGATGGCAAAGTAGATAAAAGCCTTTTATCAGACATAAATTTACTAAAGTTGATAACTCTGATAACAACAGACCATGATACATACAACTTACTCTCAGTTCAAAAAAATTATGTTTGTGTATATACATATATATATGTATACACCGTAAATGATGAAGCTAAGTGGGCAAGAGATTAATGATTGAATCTAGGTAAAGGATCAACTGGAGTTCTGTGTGGTTTTCTTATTCTTGTAAATTTTCTGAAAGTTTGAAACATTTTTCAAGTAAGTTAATAAAAAGCTTAAAAATATTTTCATGTCGTTTCAGGGAAGAGAGGAGACAGTCAAATTGACAGAAGTACTTCAAATTAGGTTGAGGGGATTTGTTAAAAATTAGCACACTGAAGCCAAAGAATTTCACATTGCCAAATCTGTGCTTACTGTTAAATGTGGATTAAGTTCAAATCTAATTAAACTCCATAAACTTAAAACTGTCCCCAGGAAAGTGGCAAAGGGAGAAACCCCACCCACTGCAGACAGCGCCCCAGGACACTCACCAGGCTGGCAGTGAGCGAAGGCGCCGATTGGCCCAGGGCCTGGTTGCGCATGCGCACGAGGTTAGACGTCTCTGCAGAGGCCGGCCACACCTGCCCCGCCACTGCATTTGGAAGGAGGTACCTCCCTGTTGGTGTTAAAGAGAAGGAAATGTAAGCAGAAGGCAGAACGACAGCGCTCCCGTAGCAACGGCAGATCCCTTCTCAGCCATCAATCTATACTCTTCTGCCATTTTCCATAATTCCGTTTATTAGTAGCAACTGGAGGGAAATTGTTTTAAGTCAGTAGATCCTGTCAAGATTTCTGACCTTGATTTCCAACATAAACCCAAGTAAACCTCGTCATCTCCAGCATCTGCCATTTTCAGTCAGGGCAGGATGAAGTGTCTTGTTACTTCTGCCTATTCCGCAGGAATGTAATGAGTATACAGCTAAGTACAAACACATTCTCAGCACCACAGAAAATAAAGGTGTGCACTTACGAATGTACTTTCTGGATATCTAATATGGAAAATGATCTAGGAATCAGAAAAGAGTCTACAAAGTAGAGATCATGACCAACAAAAGAAAGAGGTGGAATTCTTTCAAGATGAAATGGGGCAGGTGCTTCTTTCTCCCAGCTTCTCTCTCTGAAGCACTGGCGGTCATCCAACTGTGTCCACAGGACACAGAATGGTATCCTTTGGCATAAATCAGATCATTATCAGTCTAGGTTCACTGAGCATTTACATCAACTTTTAACTCTAACATATATGCATATGCATTTGAAAGTCAGCTGAACCAATTAACACTGTATTACTTCCTTAGTACACATACTAGACTGGTTATCAATGCACAAGATATAAGGCTTTTTGATTTCAGGAAGATAGGATGGACATGAATACTCACCTACTAACTAGAAGCTCAGCAAAAGCAGAGACCATGTTTGATTTTTATCTGCTTTGCACAAATACTAGCAAAATGACTGGCCATGGCAGGTACTCCTTAAATATTTGTTAAATGATAAAAGAACAAGCAGCCACTTCTTTGCCAGAAAACACATAGGTACAACACAGAGGAGACAGGCAATCCAAAGAAACTCATCCAAGAACTGCATGTGTGGGGACTCCAGCTTGTCACCTTTCAGAATCAAGACGGACTGCAGCACATGTGTCTGGTGGCCCTGCAGCAGAGGTAACACCTGTTCCCTGAATTTCCACAGCAGATCTGTTCCCTGTAAAAAAAGCCTCACTCTCTTACCTCTGGCATGCACTTCACAAGCATATCCCACTGGTTAGTAACTATTGCAATATATTAACAAGTTTTGCCAAAATTACTTTCACCCTTTTTATATAGTGAAAGCACAGATACTAGAGAAAAGTAGATATGCTTTTGAGACCTTGAGCTGCAGCTGAATGACACTGCAGAAGGAAGTTAGTTAACCTCACTTGGCCTTGGTTTCTCCATCTCTAAAATGGAGACAATGGGATCAACTGTGTAAAGTTATTGAGGGGATTAGAGGATTTTATAAGTAAGACACTCAGCAAGTGTTAGCTGCAAAAATTAAAAGTATCTTTTTTGCTTGGGTTTGGTTTATTTTCACTTACAAGTAGGAAACATAAATATATATAAAGAAAAAAATTACACCAGGGAAAACCACTGTCAACATGTATTTTTCTGGCAGACATTCTTTCTGTAACCTGTATTTTCTTGCAAAAGTGAGAACATACTGATTTTTGTCACCTGCTTTTCCCCACCAACCCTCACATAATAGAATATGACCTTTTCCAAGCGAGTAACTATAGCAAATACCAATTTATTGAAGTATAAAACCCTATCATTGAAAATTCAAATATAATTACCCTCTGTGGTTCTGGTGACCAGATGAAAAACATTCAGATCTACCTTTATGCAGGATATGTTACATAAGAAGCCTAGAATTCTAATTTTTTTTTCCTTGCCTTATTTTCAAGCATGAATTAAAAGCTCTACTATCTTGCCAATGGGTTTCAGTCCTGGGCAAGTTCACTATGGATTCAATGTGATTAAAGAAAATGACAGTAAAACATTCTTGGGGTGAAAGGGTTATATCCAACTTTATTCCCATGGTGGCAGGTCAATCACTAAAATCCCGTTCACTCAGAGTGAGTCTGCAGGCAGCAAGCCGTCTCTACCTCTGGGCCTCTCTGCCGGCACAGCTATCCCCCCGCACAGCTGTCCTCTGGGCCTCTCTGCTGGCACAGCCATCCCCTGCAGAGCCCTCCTCTGGGCCGCTGTCCTCGGTGCTGCCACCACTCCAGCCTCTGCTCTGCTCTCCTGCAGCCTTGCAGCCCTGCCACTGTGCTGCCCATAGCACTGGGCAGAGCTCTTTATATAGAGTCAATAGCAACATATTGCCCACAGGTGTGTAGTGAGCCAACCAACCAAGGCCAGGTGAGAATCCTGGCCACAGGAACTTTCATTTTATCCACATCTACTAAGAGGGATTTGGGGAAACCTGCACCCTTTAGACACAAAAGTAGGGCATTAAGAAAGAAGGACAGGCAAACTACAGACTGCATTTAGGAATGTTAACACCAGTATTATGTGAATAAATAATTTATTTATCATGGGCTACAACTCTATTTGAAGAACATCACTTTGTTAAAAATACTACCCCCACCATAATCAGAGTTCATATTTTTTCTAGTGCCTTCTATGTCTTTTCCTATAGTTTATATGTTCTATTTTCATCATTCATTTTTCAGAGAGAGGCCTCTTAGGAGGTGTAAAAGCTACGTGACATCAAGGTTTATATGGAGGAGAGAATCTACCCTGGCCTCTCCACTGCTCTGCTCCAGATGCTTCATTTTAAAGAAGATTAAGTGTAGATACAAAAACCCTTGAAGAATTTAATATAATCATGGAAAAATTTTAAAGGTAAACATTTTAGTACACTGAAGAAGTCTGTAAATCAGTCTTTTATTTCCTTTAGCAGAAAATAATGAAGTTAAGAAACAGGTATTTAATTCTGTATCCCCAGTACCTGACACAGGGCTTGGCACTTAGCAAGTGCCCAATAGTGTTTATTGACTAAAATTCAATTAAATGACACTATTTAATCAACAGTTGATAAAGCCTAAACAGAAAGGATCAAACAGAACAGATAATTTTCTTAAATTTCATTGTAGTATAGCCTAGTAGCTGAAATGTATTGAGACCTCACTATATGCCAGGCACTGCAACATCTTAATAACCCTCAGGGGTACTAGGTAATATTCTCTTTAAAACCCAGAGAGGCTATGTAAAAAAAAAAAGGGTGTGTGACTAATAAGTGGATAAAAACAGGATTCTTACTTTGAAGCCCGAATCCTATTACAGGAAATTATTCTTCATATGTGCTCAGGTGAAAGAACAAGCTCTAAGTAAAGGTAGGATGATTCTATATTTATCAGAAAAATAATATAGATTTTATATTTATAGAGGGAGAATCATCTGAATAGACTGGAAATGGTAGCAGACAGTATTAAATTAAATGAGACAATGCATTTCATGCACTCCATCTGGGCCATGGGAAGCAGTCGATACACAACCACTATTCATATTACCACCAGAACTTTATAACTCCATCAATACATCTTCTGCCAGCACCACAGCAACAAAACCTGGCAATGACTTCTTAGGCCAGATGACAAAAGAAATAATGAGAAATACTGAATAATATTGAAACAAAGAATAGTTCTTCTTTTTGGAGAAGGAAGTTAGTTAACCTCACTTGGCCTTGGTTTCTCCATCTCTAAAATGGAGACAATGGGATCAACTGTGTAAAGTTATTGAGGGGATTAGAGGATTTTATAAGTAAGACACTCAGCAAGTGTTAGCTGCAAAAATTAAAAGTATCTTTTTTGCTTGGGTTTGGTTTATTTTCACTTACAAGTAGGAAACATAAATATATATAAAGAAAAAAATTACACCAGGGAAAACCACTGTCAACATGTATTTTTCTGGCAGACATTCTTTCTGTAACCTGTATTTTCTTGCAAAAGTGAGAACATACTGATTTTTGTCACCTGCTTTTCCCCACCAACCCTCACATAATAGAATATGACCTTTTCCAAGCGAGTAACTATAGCAAATACCAATTTATTGAAGTATAAAACCCTATCATTGAAAATTCAAATATAATTACCCTCTGTGGTTCTGGTGACCAGATGAAAAACATTCAGATCTACCTTTATGCAGGATATGTTACATAAGAAGCCTAGAATTCTAATTTTTTTTTCCTTGCCTTATTTTCAAGCATGAATTAAAAGCTCTACTATCTTGCCAATGGGTTTCAGTCCTGGGCAAGTTCACTATGGATTCAATGTGATTAAAGAAAATGACAGTAAAACATTCTTGGGGTGAAAGGGTTATATCCAACTTTATTCCCATGGTGGCAGGTCAATCACTAAAATCCCGTTCACTCAGAGTGAGTCTGCAGGCAGCAAGCCGTCTCTACCTCTGGGCCTCTCTGCCGGCACAGCTATCCCCCCGCACAGCTGTCCTCTGGGCCTCTCTGCTGGCACAGCCATCCCCTGCAGAGCCCTCCTCTGGGCCGCTGTCCTCGGTGCTGCCACCACTCCAGCCTCTGCTCTGCTCTCCTGCAGCCTTGCAGCCCTGCCACTGTGCTGCCCATAGCACTGGGCAGAGCTCTTTATATAGAGTCAATAGCAACATATTGCCCACAGGTGTGTAGTGAGCCAACCAACCAAGGCCAGGTGAGAATCCTGGCCACAGGAACTTTCATTTTATCCACATCTACTAAGAGGGATTTGGGGAAACCTGCACCCTTTAGACACAAAAGTAGGGCATTAAGAAAGAAGGACAGGCAAACTACAGACTGCATTTAGGAATGTTAACACCAGTATTATGTGAATAAATAATTTATTTATCATGGGCTACAACTCTATTTGAAGAACATCACTTTGTTAAAAATACTACCCCCACCATAATCAGAGTTCATATTTTTTCTAGTGCCTTCTATGTCTTTTCCTATAGTTTATATGTTCTATTTTCATCATTCATTTTTCAGAGAGAGGC